TGTCTTTTGTTTGGAGCATTTAATCCATTTACATTTAAGGTAATTATCCATATGTATGTTCCTATTACCATTTTCTTAATTGTTTTGATTTGTTTTTGTAGGTCTTTTCCTTCTCTTGTGTTTCCTGCCTAGAGAAGTTCCTTTACAATTTGTTATAAAGCTGATTTGGTGGTGCTGAATTCTCTTAACTTTTGCTTGTCTGTAAATGTTTTAATTTCTCCATCGAACCTGAATGAGATTCTTGCTGGGTTGAGTAATCTTGGTTGTAGGTTTTCCCTTTCATCACTTTATGGCCTACCACTCCCTTCTGGCTTGCAGAGTTTCTGCTGAAAGATCAGCTATTCACCTTATGGGGATTCCCTTTTATGTGATAAATAAAAATAAAATAAACTGTAAAAAAATAAAATAAAAAATAAATAAATAAATTGTAAAAAAATAAAATAAAAAGAAGAGAGAGCAACGAAACCAATAAACAAATCCCCAATGATAACAAGCACTAAAAAGTAAACTAAGATAAACATAAAAATCAGGAACAAATAAGTCACAGACAGCAAACCCCAAGTCTACAGTTGCTCTCAAAGTCCACTGCCTCAATTTTGGGAACATTCGTTGTCTATTCAGGTATTCCACAGATGCAGTGTTCATCAAGTTGATTGTGGGGATTTAATCCACTGCTCCTGAGGCTGCATGGCGATATTTCCCTTTCTCTTCTTTGTTCACACAGCTCCTGCGGTTCAGCTTTGGTTTTGGCCCCACCTCTGCGCGTAGGCCACCCTCAGGCACCTGTTCCCCATCCAGACAGGAGGGGGTTAAAGCAGTGGCTGATTAGGGCTCTCTTGCTCACTCAGGCCGGGGAGAGGGAGGGGTACAGTAGTCATAATTGGAATGAGGGACAAGCCTGTGGTGACAGAGGCCGGCGTGACATTGCAACAGCCTGAGGCACACTGTGTGTGTTCTCCAGGGGAAGTTGTCCCTGGATTACAAAACCCTGGCAGTGGCAGGCTGCACAGGCTCCCAGGAGGGGAGGTGTGGATAGTGACCTGTGCTCGCACACAGGCTTCTTGGTGGCTGCAGCAGCAGCCTTAGCATTTCATGCCCATCTCCAGGGTCCGCGCTGATAGCCTCGGCTCGTGCCCATCTCTGGAGCTCGTTTAGACGGTGCTCTGAATCCCCTCTCCTCACGCACCCCAAAACAATGGTCTCTTGCCTCTTAGGCAGTTCCAGACATTTTCCTGGACTCCCTCCCGGCTAGCTGTGGTGCACTAGCCTCCTTCAGGCTGTGTTCTCGCAGCCAACCCCAGTCCTCTCCCTGGGATCCGACCTCCGAAGCCTGAGTCTCAGCTCCCAAGCCCAACCCGCCCAGCGGGTGAGCAGACAAGTGTCTCAGGCTGATGATTGCTGGTCGGCACAGATCCTCTGTGCGGGAATCTCTCCACTTTGCCCTCTGCACCCCTATTGCTGTGCTCTCCTCCATGGCTCCAAAGCTTGCCCCATGCCACCCCCTATCTCCGCCATTGAAGGGGCTTCCTAGTGTGTGGAAACGTTTCCTCCTTCACAACTCCCTCCCAGAGGTGCAGGTCCCATCCCTATTCTTTTGTCTCTGTTTTTTCTTTTTTCTTTTGCCCTACCCAGGTATGTGGGGAATTTCTTGCCTTTTGCGAAGTCTGAGGTCTTCTGCCAGCGTTCAGTAGGTGTTCTGTAGGGGTTGTCCCACATGTAGATGTATTTCTGATGTATTTGTGGGGAGGAAGGTGATCTCCACATCTTACTCCTCAGCCATCTTGAAGGTCCCCCCACCATGTACTTTAAAACAAGATAAACTTGGGTTTTGGGTTTAATTCTCCAAGTTAAGAGCTGTTTAAGACAAACCTTAAAGAAGTTATTATATTTATTTTATATTATAGAAGGTGAATCATCGCACCTACCTTGGAGGATTGTTAGGAGGGTTAATTATAATAGGCGAAGCACAGGACCTGGAATACAGTGACTGCGTAATAGCTGGCAGGTGCTACCTGGGGCCAGAGACAAAAAGTGGGTAAGGATTGGCCTTCCTGTGGCTCAGTGGTTGCTTCATTCAGGCTCTGGAAGGTTTGTAACTCGAGATCCAGGCTCAAAAAAATACTAAAATGCTCAAATAATGATGTCAACACATCTGAATAGCTCCTTAACACTTATAAACCACTTTTGTGTGTATTTTATTTGATCTTCACAAACATATACCTATAGATGCACAAATATTCCACAATTAATTGAGAAAACTTACAATATGTCCAGCATTACACTAAGCACAGAAAATACATGATCAACACTTTGCTGTACACCTGAAACTATCACAACGTTGTTAATCAACGATATTCCAATATAAAATTAAAAGTTTAAAATATAAAATAAAAAAAGGAAAAATATATATTAGATTATCGAAGCTATAAGAAAAAAGAAAATACATGATTGAATTCCGTCTTCATAACAACCCCATAGGTTGGTTTTAATATTTTCCCCATTGTCTGGATGAGGAAACTGAGGCTCAGAAAGGTTAAGTCACTTTCCCAGAATAACACTGTACTGAGTAGCAGAGCTGACTTAAACGCCGGTCCATCTGTCCACAGAGCTCATTTCTCTCAATCAGCAGGCTATGCAGTTTTTTTCTAAAGTAGGCCGGGCAAGCATTACGTTTTCACTATATACATGAGAATACTGCAACTCATGTAAGGGTAAGCAACCTGCTCAAGGACTCACAAGTTCTATTTTGGGAATATTAAGACTGAATGGTGGTGTCTGCAACGAGGAGTAAGTTCCTTATCTCTGAAGAAGATCAGAGTGAGCTTAGGTGATCACATTCCAGATACAACACAGGTAACACTTATGAATCAAATAAATTACATGCTTTATTTGCCTCTAAGATTCTTTTCAAACCTTTGATTCTATAACTTCATTCTTAACGTAGAGAGACTCAAAGTCTTAAGACTAGAAAAAATTTTCCATTAAGATAAAAATACTTTGGCAAGAGAAGGTTCCAGGTGTGTTAGGTCTGCAACATAACAGCTGGAGAAGAACTTTGTGAAGCTAGTCATTGTCCAAAAGCATTAACATCCAAAGATAAATTAATAATAATGGAGAAAATGAATTATTCATTAAAACTAGAATGAGGTTAGGAAAAAAATTATCTCTGCAAATCTGGCCCAGCACTTTCACTATAAATTAAAATCTATGATAAATCACAAATAAATTGGATAGACATCTGCAGCAGAAATTAAATTACCAAAGAAAAACTGCACATTTGGGGAATTTTACGAACATGGAAACCACCAAGAGAGATAGCTTTCCTTGCAGATTGTTTAATGGATTAATTTCTTATTTAAAATCTTTTAAAGAACAAACATGATGCCTCCCATTCATTAGCTCCTTTTGAATATTAAAAATTTTCTAAGAACTGGACTGTGAGGACAGGTATCTCCAGCAGTAAATCCAGAAAATGTCATTGCCATAGTGTCAGATAAGTAAGGACACTGCAACACAGGGACTAGACTGCATAACTACGATGTCTAAGTACAAATGTATCAAGTTATGGATACAAGTCTGAAACTTGTAACCATGGCATGTAACATATCATTTAGTTATAATTATGAAAATCATAAAATCACAATAGAAAGGCCTTTAGAAATATGAATTTTCTCATCTTTAAAGATGGCTTAGGTTTCTATATATCTCAATATCTGCTTTGTATTTAAAATGAACAGTGAGAAGAGTGTAAATAATATACAAATAAAATAACATTATTTTTTAAAAGCTGTATATAAAGGGAAATGTTTAAAAATTATTGGAGACCTTGCTATTTAAAATAAACCCGTGGGGACTTCCCTGGTGGAGCAGTGGTTAAGAATCTGCCTGCCAATGCAAGGGACACAGGTTCGAGCCCTGGTCTGGGAAGATCCCACATGCCGCAGAGCAACTAAGCCCCTGCACCACAACTACTGAGCCTGCTTTCTAGAGCCCACGAGCCACAACTACTGAGCCCACGTGCCACAACCACTGAAGCCCACGTGCCTAGAGCCCATGCTAGGCAACAAGAGAAGCCACCACAATGAGAAGCCTGCGCACCGCAACAAAGAGTAACCCCTGCTCATCACAACTAGAGAAAGCCCACATGCAGCAACGAAGACCCAGTGCAGCCAAAAATAAATAAATAAATCTATTTTTAAAAATAAATGAATAAAATAAACCTATGACTTGGCCCTTCTCCTTTATTAAGTGCTAAATAATTTACTGTTCCTCAGTTCCTATTGTTTTATTTTTATTTTACATTTATATTTTTCCTTTTATTGTAAAAATTTATCTTTCTTCAACCAAGACTTTTAAGGTGAGAACGTGTATTAACTGAGGAAAGTTTGCCTTAAATACAGACTTTCCTGCTTTGGAAGAAGAGTTATCACTTCTGTGACCACAGCATGAATGAAGACACACTTGGCCACTCAGCAAAACCGGCCCAGGAAGTTGCCTGCATCTCATAAGCCACTATGGGTCACAACAACACAAGAGCAAGACAGAGAAATGGCAAGTGTCCAGGAACTAAGAAGGAAACCTCCCATCTATTGTGAGATGCTTTTAATGTAGGGTGCAAAGGGTTGTCATCTTGACCAACAATGGACATCCCAAACTCCCAGCCTCTCCTCTCCAAACCTGTGCCATCTCCTGATCCATTAAGAGGCATGATTTTATCCTACACACTATACCTTTCACAGCTTATTACTTCTGCTCGTTCCCATCCCTGTTGATGGCATGATATGTAAGACTTACCTCTATCTCCAACAGTGAGTCTCTTGGCAAAGCAGCAAACAAAGCTATTTTTTTAGTTGTCCCTTGAGACGTATAGAAACCCAGAGTTAGGAGAGATCTAGAAGAGCCAAAGCAGACGCAGGTACTCTCCATACCTTAGGTTGGACAATGACCCCTGAAGCAGGCAAATGGCCCCAGGGTGTTCATGTGTCAGAATAAAGCCTTACCTTTCTCCTAGCAAGGAAGCTTGCAGAACTCAGCCAGTACAGTAGCTAACAGGGCAGAGGAAACATCCAGCCTCGATCGCATCTATAAAACAAGGTGATTGCAAGAGTTGTGAATTGGCAACCCCTGTGCTGACTGCTCTGTGTTTTTCAAAAAGTGGAATTTAGTCATCTTTAAATGGGATACATGTTCTCCAGGCAGCCAGGGCCCTGTCATTTTTTTTTTATCTCATACCTGGTCCTCCTTCATATATCTGTGATACCAATCCAGCCCTGAAAGCATTCGAGCTTGAAATAAAAGACTCTTAAAGAGTCTTTCCCAGTCTTTAAAAGAACCTACAGTGTTTTGACCCAGGCAGCCACAGCTAATGCTCCCCTGTTGCCTCTCTACTTGAGAATCTCAGCTTGAACTTCATTTTGAAAATAAGGAAACAGATAAAGGCAGCCCAGTAGGAGGAAGGAAAAGCATGTGTTAAAGTGTGGCACTGTGAAGCATCATGCCACATTCTAAAAATGCAAGCAGTTGGGCATGACTAGACAAAGGGTGCAGGGGGAGAAGTAGGGGCATAGAAAACTTGAGGTGAGATGTGTAGCGCGAGGCAAATATTGAAAAGAGTTGTGAGCTAAGCTGAAGATCCTGAACTTTGTCCTGAAAACTGAAGGGAAATGGCAGAAAGGGGTGGGGGGGGAGTCGTTGAAGGTTTTTAACTCATTGAATTTCTATTTTAAGCCTCTATATTTTGGAGGCTGCAGGGAAGATGGACAAGTATCAATACTTTCCCCACCAGCAAAAAGTACTTTCCCCATCAGTAAAATCAGCTGGTGTAGACCAAGGGTTCACAATGCTGGTTGCATATGAGAATCACCTGAGACACTTGTAAAAGTTCTGCTAACCTAGCCTCACTGCTAAGAGATTATTTAATTGGGTTGGGGGAGGGAGGCAGGTAAGGTATTTTTTAAAGTATGATAACCTCAAGGACGCTTCTGGCTCTGAAATTCTATCAACTGTGTCAAAGAAGGTTCCTACCATCTGAAGTGAAATGTGGTAAAAGCCATTTCCTTTGCATCTTCAGACCCCAAATCCGGAACGAGGTTTGGAAAGCACCTCTAAACAGTTCATATCATTCTTCAAGTTGGTTTTATTCTTGGGCATATCAAGTTTCTCCCTAAAACAACATAGGATTATATTTTTTAAAATTTCGTGGTGGATAGATTTTTTTATATAAATTTATTTATTTTATTTATTTATTTTTGGCTGTGTTGGATCTTTGTTGCTGCGCGCCGGCTTTCTCTAGTTGTGGCGAGCGGGGGCTACTCTTTGTCGTGGCACACGGGCTTCTCATTGCGGTGGCTTCTCTTGTTGCAGAGCACGGGCTCTAGGCGCACAGGCTTCAGTAGTCGTGGCACACAGGCTTAGTTGCTCCGCGGCATGTGGGATCTTCCCGGACCAGGGCTTGAACCCATGTCCCCTGCATTGGCAGGCAGATTCTCAACAACTGCGCCACCAGGGAAGCCCTATAGGATTATTTTAGAGAACAACTGCAAACATCTATTTTAGAATTTCACACTGTCAAATCATTTAGATGTGAAAGAAAACCAGCACCTCCCAAATAAACAGAAAGCCAACATGAATAGGCAAAACTTATCCACACCTCATTAAGGATTGTTTTTAATCAATCAGTTAATAGGCATGTATATATAAAACCTTAGTCTTTGTTATACGTTCCAAAATGTGTTATTCCAGCATGGTGGATGAGCAGGCTCCCTACTCATTTTCTGCCTCTCTTTTCCCCTACCTGAACCTGAGAATGTCTGTTTGCTTGCGTGCTTCTTTTTAAAGCTATTATTTATTGAGCATGTCCTACGAGCCAGGCATTTTGCCAAAGACTTATTTCAAATAAGTTAGTATTTATCACCTTTTTATTAATGAGCAAACTGCAGAGAGGAAACATAACTGCTCAACGACACAGCTAGTAACAAGCAGCACCAGAATCTGAAGTTCTGTTTCCTAAGGTCGTGAGCTTCACCATCTCCCTACACCGTACCGCCATTCATCCCCACTCTCTAATTAGATCTTGTCTCCCTCCCACACCCCCACACTCCCCACCTTGACCTGTGGAGCAGGAGTCCACCTGGAGTTCACTGAAGGTATGTGAAGAAGTCAATTAAGAGTAGACACAGGCACACAACCTCAGATCACCTGCTCCTCACTTGGGCGATCTCTCAGACTGCTGTCAGTAGGGCGCCCTCTGCTGCTCATGATGCCAAAGTGGGTTAGGAACAGAGGACCGGGAAACTTCAGAGGGCCTCCTTATACAGAGCTGACCTAAACTTGAGACGAATTTGTCCTTTTTAAACAAACAACTGTACCTCCCCACCATAAAGAAAACACTCCTGCTCCATAGGTCAATCCCAAAAGGCTTCAACCCAAACAAGCAAGAAACATCAATCTCAGTTTTCAAGATTTTGTCCAAAATCAAGCCACAGAATCACTGCAATGTCCTGAAAATAGTCTCCACCCCTCCGGTTCAATGTTAATTTCCTGTGTTCGCACTGCTCACATTGAACTGAAGCTTTAACCTTGAAAAACTATTGTCTTTTCAAAGTGTGACTGGGGGAAGAAGGAACGTCTCCTATCTGAGACATTATAACAACGCTGAACCAGCTGCTAAGAGCACACAGCCGTGGATGCTTGCTTTCTTTACCCAGAAATTATAAAACATTCAGAGACCCCTGGGGCAAGTTAACCATAAAATATTCAGCAACATCTGTGCCATATTATTTACTGACAGACTAGACCCAGAAAATATGGCCCTTGTATGGCGCTGGCTGCCCGGCACCACGTGGGTCGTTAGGCTGTGGCTGGAAGGTGCTGTTTTCCGGTCCTTCACTCCCACCACCCTCGCTCTCACGCAGGCTTTCCCCCCAGCACCTCAGTCATGGGGCTACCAGGACAAGCTTACGAACAGGTTTGTCCTCAGAGTCTCCGCGAGCAAAGCAATTTCTAACAAAGGCTGCCTGGTCCTGTGGGGTTGGGGTTGTGTCCCTCTCAGGAACTTACACAGGTGACTCCCAGGAAGGCAAGGGCACAGCTTGAGGAGCAAACTGCCTCGAGGAAGCTGGGAGCGCCGCTTCCCTCCCTGGAGTCTGCGCAAGCGCACACGCACGCACACGCGCACACAAAAGCTGCTTTGCTCCCGAAATTGACCGAACTAGAAACCAAGACACGGGAGTTCTGTCAGTCGGTCAATGCACAATCATAACCTTATTTGTGCCAAGCGCAGTGCTAGCTCTGGGTTCAAGTCCTTCCTTTGCCACCTTGTGACCCGAATACCTCTGTGATCCTCAGTGTGGGTTTCAGGGTGGAGGGGACAAGACAGTCACCTGGAGAGCTGTTGTAAACCACACACCCTTCCTGTCACTGAATTCTGGTAAACAACTGCTCTCCACCCCACTCTTCCCCCATTCCCAACTGCATGTTCATTTGGGGAAAAAATTCCTCACAGGCTGTAGCACACCCTCTCCAATGACTACTGGATTAGATCCTTTATAAGCAGAGTGAACACACACCAAGTTTGTCCGGGACAGTCTCAACTTATACCTGTAGTTCTATTTTATTAATAACATTCCCTTTCACTCTCAAAAGTGTCCCAGTTTGGGATATAAAATATACGGTCTCCCTTTATAAAGTCCCCTCCAGATCTAATGTGACTTTAACACACCCTCACCAAAGATTTCAGGACTTGTAGATTCTTCCCCACTAAAGTCTCCCCATGCTATTTTAAGATTCCCGACTGGACTGTCTCCTAAGTGTCTCAGCCTGCACACAGCAGTTTCCATTTTTCCTCCTCTCCTGCGCTGCCTCCCCCAGGTCTCTCTTCACAGTAAGAAGCTGAGAGAAGACCCCTCGCTCCAGCGCCTGCACCTCCCACCACCGAAGGGGCTGCCAGTGGATGACGCCACAGTGGCCCTGGCACAGCAGCAACCCAAACCACCCCCGATTCTGCATCATGGAGGCAGAGAATCCCACACACCTGCCAGTGCCACACTCACAGAAGGCTGGGGGGCAGCGTGAGGCCAGGCTCGCAGCAACTCCCAGAGGTCTCTCTCGCATAACACCTCCTCTTACTGCTCATGCCCCTGTTACAGACACCACAAAATGACGGCCTGTCAGCCAACCTAGGTTACAGGTGTGCTTCTTTCACCACGTTTTTTGTTTTTTTCATGTTGGGCAACAATTTAAAATGAGGAGATTTTGACTCCTAGAGAAAAAGAGAGTGCCCAAATCAATAGTCAGTAATGAAAAAAATAAAATTAGGAGATTTCACTGAAAATCCCTGTTGTAAAAGAACCGCTTGTAAAAACCGAATGTTAAATTTTCAACAATTTTGTGAGCAATTGTTAAACACAGCTATTATTAAAACTTAAATTATATTAACATACACGTAAATAAATTCTATTAAAAACAAAGGCAATAATTAGATTGTGTTGATGGTTGTACAGTTCAGAAAACATATAAAAATTCATTAAACTTAAATGGACACAAAATATACGAAGGGTGAATTTTATGGTACGTAGATTTTACCTCCATAAAGCTATTAAAAAATAAAATATTTGGAATTCCCTGGCAGTCCAGTGGCTAGGACTCCGTGCTTTCCACTGCAGGGGGCATGAGTTCGATCCCTGGTTGGGTAGCTAAGATCCCGCATGGCACACGGTGCAGCCAAAAAAAAAAAAAAGAAAGAAAAGAAAAATTTTAAAGGTAATAAATACTCAAAAGTCATTACTTCTTAATTATATTATTACAATTTACTATGATCTACGCTCTTGAAGTTATTTACATCTATTGCATCTGTGGGGTGGAAATGTCATCTAATAGAATGCTCATCTCTTCCCAGCTCCACATTCTGTAACATCCCTTGAAATAAGCCATGATGAAATTATAACACAGTAGAAATAGGCAAATATTTCAACTCAAGCCTTGGTCCATTGTTTGTTGATTGTCTAGACTTAAGAATATAATGGGGGAAAAATGTTAATAATGCAGATAAAACTTTAAAGTGTGTTGTGCCTGTAGTCTTTACATTGTGAATAGCACCAAAAATTGAGGAAATGTTCTTCCAGTGTTTGAAAACTGTTATCCAATTCAGAAGTCACTCACATCACTGATGAACAAGTGTACTTACGAGTGTTGGTTGATATTTTCATTTACCATAACAAGTCAGACAAAACTGAAACATAGATATATGTCAGAATTAAGCTCAAAATCAAGCTTGTATTCATAGTCTTATTTTTTACCCTATTGTTGGTGATAAAATTATAAAAACTGAGAGAGGATGTGGTAAAAAATAGCAAGTCACACAGAGTATGTTAAATTTTATGGGTATTTGCAAGTTGCATGCTACTAGATATTCTTTATATCAGTAAAATTTACAATATGTATCATATATGTATATTTATTTGTATGTGTGTATGTATATGTATATATATACTTACACACACACACACTTTTTGTTGTTAAACACCAGCACAACATTTTATAATATCCTCATTTTCAGGCTTCTCTTGAAAAGTCAAATCTGGTAATATTGTACCTATACAGCCACCCAATAACTGGAGTTGGCTGGAGCTGAAGTAATGTCTTGTCCCCTTTAGACAGGCACACAGTCTCCAGTTCATGCACAGTCCTCACCACTCCCTATTGTCTTACCCTCTGTGTCTCACGTTTTCATTACCTGCCTGACTCCTACAGGCTTCTGAGTTTAAGCCCCCTGTTGTAGGCTCTCTCCTTGAGATCCAGACACATGTCCATAACACTGACCAGAGGACTGATAACTGAAACAGGTTCAGTACTGACCTCCTGTGGCAGGCTGACTACTGGCTCCCAAAGATGTCCATATTGTAATCCCCAAAACCTGTGACTGTTGCCTCACGTGGTTAAAGGGATTTACAGTTTTGATTAAGTTAAAGATCTCGAGAAGGGGAGATTAGCCTAGATTATCTGTGTGGGCTCAGTGTAATCACAAGGGTCCTTATCAGATGAAGGCAAGAGGATCAGAATCAAAAGAAGGAGATGTGAGGACAGTGCAGTGGTTGAAGATGGAGGAAGGCGCCATGAGCCAAGGAATGCAGTTGGCATCTAACTGCTGGTAGAAAAGGCAAGAAA